TCAACTCGTATTTATTATAAGTAACTAAGTTAACTAATTTTTTTAATTTATTTAAATTAGTTAAATATTTTTTATATTAATACTAGTACTCCACACAATTATATGCTAAATGGGACCAGTATGACACTGATGCGGATATGTGTATTAGGTATCATTTAAAAAGACACGTGAGATGCAGTGTTTTTGAAAAAGATTAGCGTGTAAAATTGTTCTGAAAATTTTTTGCTCATGACTAATGTCATCTGGGAAGTTTTTTTGTGTTCAACGTTGACTCAAAAGTTTCAAAATAGCAATATTATCTCAACATGTTAAAAAATTAGCATTAACCATTAACAGTTCTAAAAGTTAAAAAGCAGCATTGCTCTCGTTTTAACACTTTTGAGACCACCTTAAATCCAAAAAAAAAAAACTTTTAGAACAATATTACTTCTGAATGAAAACAATTTGAACTTTAATTTTTTTTTAAAAATCTAGGGATATAGGAGGTACCCAGCATACGCACGTGTAAATATGTACAATTATGTGACAAATTAGCCTGTTAAAAGAATAGAAGAGGCAGTGTTAAAAAAATGGTGCGAACTTTCTGGTGGAAAAAAACGGTGCAAACGTTAAAACAAGGTATATGAGCGAATAGTAAATAATAAGAAGTTTAAAAATAGAAAATCCCAACAAGTTCAAGTTAATTACTTGTTATTGAGACTTTTTCATAATTAATTTTTTTTTAAGACTTTCTGGTAATTCTCCCAAAATTTGTTATCAAATTGTATGTGTATTTTTTAATTTGTTTATTTCAAAGCATCGATGCTTTACAGGTTGGAACCCCTCTTGTGGCCGTGCCAGCTTCTTCTGTACTACCCAAGCAACCTTACAAAAATATTTAAGGATTGCCAGCTCACATTTTAATATAAGATTTAACTGGTTAATTTGAAAAACTAAAAAAATTACTAAATTATTTAATTATCATATGTGTTACACACTGTTTCTAAAATATTTACATGGATCATTAGACTATATACCAATTTATAAGTTAGAAAAATTAATTTTAAAAATAATAGATATAAATAATTTAGAATAATTTAATTTTTTTAATTTTTCAAATTAATTAATTAGATTTTATATTAAGATGAGGAGGTATTTTTTGTTGTTGCCAAAAGTCTTCAAGAATATTGACTAACGGTACCAATGGCCAAACAAAAAAAATCACTAACGGTACCGTTGCATATATACCTGAACCTACGCCGCTGTTGCTAATTTTCACAGTACGCTTGTCAGTTTCGCACTTTCGCCCGGACACAACTTCCGTCTATCATTGTCACAAAAAAACAAAAACAAAAAACGAAAAAAGCGTTCTGTAGTACATACAGGAGCAAGATATTCAATTTATAAAAGTTAAAAAAATAGGTTAATTATTTTCAATAAAGATGTATTAATTTTCGTAAAATGTTTTATTTACATTAAAAACTTCCTTCACTAATAACCCATTTGTTATATGTGATCAATACGATTGTTTGTGAAAATGATTATAAATTTACAAGATAAAACAAATAAAGATCTTATATTTAAAGTGAAATTTTTTTAATAAATATTTACCTCTGTCTCTTAAAATAAGATCAAATTGACTAATTTGATAAAATTAAAAAATTAAATAAATTAATTTAAAATACTTATATTTATCATTTTTTTCCAGAGTAATCTGTGTTTCTTAATATTTTACACTGATGTATAATCTAATTATAAATATAAGTATTTTATAAAAATCATGTAATATTCTATAATTTAATTAATTAATTTAAATTTATTAATGTTTTAAATTAATCAACTATGTCTTATATTAAGAACTAGTAGTAACTTTTGCATTTAAAATTAAAAAGACAATAATTTTTCTAGTGATTTAGATTGAAATATGCGTAAAGCTTCTTCAATTTGTAGATTTTATTTATTTTGATTTCATGATTATATTTGTATTTAAAAAATAAACAACAATATTCTAATTCTTTTAACCCATTCCATTTTTTCTTTTTTGACCATGTTCCATTTTTTCCCATCTCTTGTCTAAATGGCCAGCAAAAAGAATGTTTAATATATATTAATTTATATATTTAATTTCTTTATCTGTCATGTCCCATCATAAATTCGAAAAGAGTATCAATTTAAGTTCAGCTTTAATCCATGAATGAAATATCATTCTCAATAACAAAAGAGACAAAACCAACCATGTGATTTTAGATCATGGGCTTATTTATAATGACTTGAAAGCAATTTTTTAATTGTGATGAGAGTTTTATATGGAGTTACATAAAAATGCTGATAAGGATAGTTATTAAGTTAGATAGCCCCACTTTAAATCATCATACATGAAAATTCAACTCAGTGACATCAATATTTAGGTAATTAACCTCTCATACTAGACAACAAATTTTAACAAAATTTTCACGTCCACCTCTTTTATTACCAACTAAAGTGGATTCTGTATAATTACATTAAATTTGAGATAAATTACACTTTTTTCAGACTTTCACGGTGGGTTTGGTGCTTTGGTATGAGGGAAAGAAAGGATAAAGAAAGAGAGAGAGAAATTTAATAAGCTCAATTTAAAAAATTAAAAGATTAAGATTATAAAATTTTAATAAAAAGAATATATAAGATAAAAGAGCAAGAAAAAGTAATGAAAAATTTTAGCCTAACTTCTCAAAATTTTTTAATTTAATTCATTAAAAAAATTTCTTCCTTCTTCTCCATCCAATTCCCTCACCAACCAATAGGGTTAAACACAAAAATGAATTAAATCAAATATGCATCTCCAGATTCCCCCTAACAACCATTCTCCTCTCTCTAGAATGCGTTGCTGTCGCACACTCTCTGTTCACAGGTTTGTCAGTCTCTGCTTTTCCTCAATAAAAAATAATTAACCGAATACTTCTATTAAAAAATCAGTTAAAATCATCATCTACACAATTTACATTGATAATTAAATAAGGGCCAAATAAGAATTCAACAAAAACATGAAAATACTACCTCCGGTCCTAATTATAAGAACCAGTTGACTAATTTGAAGAGATTAAGAAAGTGAGTTGAGTTAGTTATTTGTCCTAAATAGATGTTGTCTTTCCTAAAATATCCTTACTAATCAAGTGTATTAACTGGAACTATCATTGTTAGAAGGGCTATTTTGAAAAAAAAATGTATAAATATGAGAGACAAAGTGGATTGGGGTTTTATATTTATGATCAAAATAAAAGTTAAACAGGGTCTTATATAAAAGACCGGAGGTAGCAATATTTAAGCATCTTTTATAAATAGTTGCAAGTTATATCTAAAAATTATCTCTTATAAAAGTGAACAAAGAAAATAAGTTATAACTGTGACTCTGGATAAAACGTGTGTAAAAAATGCGTGCTTTTTTTTGGTGATATTTCATTCTAATTTAATTTGAAGTTTTGAATTTAGTAAATAAATATTATAGTATTCCTACCTTACAAACGACATTGCTTGTAATTAAATTTATGCTAGCTTCGATCTTTACTCAGTTAACTAATTTAAAAAGATTAAATGATTCATTAAATTATTTTAAAGTATTTATATTTATCGTTTTTCTCTAAACTAATTTACATCACTTATAAATTGATATATAATCTAATTATACACATAAGTATTTTAGAGACACCATTAACATGTGCTATAATTAAGTAATCTAATAAATTTTTTAATTTTTTAAAATCAGTCAATCAGGTCTTATATTAAAAACCAGAAATACTAATCAATTAGAGATATTAAGTAAAAAAAATTAATATTTAAAATAAAAATATCATATTATGAAATACTGCAGTGAAATTGAAATTCTCATAATAAGAAAGTATAAGCCGATAATAAATGTGCTGGTCAAAAGAAAAAAAAAGCCGATAACAAATGGTCTTAATTTCTCCTCAGAGATGTGAGGATAAAAAAGTCAATACCATCTTGCCTCGCTTCTAGAAGCGGGGGTTCACATTCGTAAAATCACCGTTGCTTCGGCCTGGCCTGATGCCCTGAAAGGAAAGTTCGAAACGGCGGTTTTTAATTTTTATAGTTGTTGTAGAATTTTTTGTGCATGGGTACTATAAAAAGTAGAAAAACTGGGAGAGAAGGAAGATTCCAGAATTTTTCCTTCATTTGGTTTTTCTAAATGTCATGTAAAATGATTCATTTGTCCAGAGAATTTAAACTCGGTTATTTTATCCAAATTACTTTGAAGTAACTGAGGGCCTTTTTTTTTTTTCAATAACATCAGATTATGACGAACGACTCGAGTAGCCGCAAACGGAAATCGGAATGGTATCCCATAAATAATGAAAAAGCAAGGACGAACGACGCGAGCAGCGCAAATAGAAAGTATTATCTCTGAGTTAGTTTTTAACGTAAATTGTATTACAAATGAGCTGTTATACTTAGGATTGGAGCTCATAATTTAATTTTAATCTATAAATCTAAATTAAAACTCGGAGTTTAGTCGCATAGAAAGATATAAAAAGAATATGAAAGTATTAAAAAATTATTACTTTTTTGCTTGGAAGCGGACCTTTTCAGTCCGCCCAGTCAAACTCGGAAGCAATGGCGCTATGGCAGTCAGCATGACCACCTTTCTGAAATGTGGCCTGCAGACAGCCATGGACCATCGTCATGGAGACTCTGGAATGAATAAAAGGAGTAGGGCCGGGGAACGGGGTCTATAATTAATTGCTATGGGATTGGGAACGATAGGAGGATCTCGTAATTAAATGGCAAAGTATGGATCCGAGAAGGCGAAAGTTAGGCTCGCAAGCCTTAACCTTCCAGTCAACCCACAGCACGAAACGTTCTCTGCCAAAATGTCTGGTAGAAAAAGCTGACCACGTGATGACTTGTATGGTTAGTACGGTGTTTGGTAATTAATTTCCATTGGGACGCATGCACTCGCCTTCCCCGACTCGTTATATAAACCAGACCAACCTGGGCACTAAACAGATCAATCGTTAACTGACTGCATCGCAATCTTAGTCATTGTGCTAGGAACTTGTAAGAGAGATCAGATCGGGAGGATAAAAATGGTGAGCAGCGCTGCGGTGGTTGCTCCCAGAGTTGAGAGGTTGGCAACCAGTGGGATTAAGTCGATCCCTAAGGAGTACGTGAGACCTCAAGAAGAGCTGACCAACATCGGCAACGTGTTCGAAGAGGAAAAGAAGGAAGGTCCAGAAGTTCCGACGATTGACTTGACGGAGATAGAGTCGGAAGATGAGGTGGTTCGAGCGAGGTGCCACGAGACGCTGAAGAAAGCTGCTCAGGAATGGGGCGTGATGAACCTGGTGAACCATGGGATCCCAGAGGAGCTGTTGAACCAACTCAGGAAAGCTGGCGAGACTTTCTTCTCTCTTCCCATTGAGGAGAAAGAAAAGTACGCCAACGATCAGGCCTCCGGTAAGATTCAAGGCTACGGAAGCAAGCTAGCCAACAACGCCAGCGGCCAGCTCGAGTGGGAAGACTACTTCTTCCACCTTGTTTTCCCCGAGGACAAGTGCGACCTCTCCATCTGGCCCAGAACCCCCTCCGATTACATGTCAGTTTCTTCACTTTCCTCCCCTCTTTCTTTCTGTTATGTTCTTCCTAGCTAGAGCTCTGACAGAGATAATGATGATAAACGTGCATGCAGCGAGGTGACGAGCGAGTACGCAAGGCAACTGAGAGGGCTAGCAACGAAGATACTGGGGGCTTTGTCTCTTGGATTGGGGTTGGAGAAAGGGAGATTAGAGGAAGAGGTTGGAGGAATGGAGGAACTTTTGCTTCAGATGAAGATCAACTATTACCCAATATGCCCCCAGCCGGAGCTGGCTCTCGGCGTTGAAGCCCACACGGACGTGAGTTCCCTCACCTTCTTGCTCCACAATATGGTGCCCGGCCTGCAGCTTTTCTACAATGGCCAGTGGATCACAGCCAAGTGCGTGCCCAACTCCATTTTCATGCACATCGGCGACACCGTCGAGATCCTCAGCAACGGCAGGTACAAGAGTATTCTGCACAGGGGGTTGGTGAACAAGGAGAAGGTCAGAATATCTTGGGCTGTCTTCTGTGAGCCTCCCAAGGAGAAGATCATACTGAAGCCGCTGCCGGAGCTGGTCACCGACGACGAGCCGGCTCGCTTCCCGCCTCGCACCTTTGCTCAGCATATTCAGCACAAGCTCTTCAGGAAGTGCCAGGAAGGTCTGTCCAAATGAGCCTTTTATATTATATGATCTCTATATTCTTCATTTCCGTCTCTCGCGATCATTGAACTCTCAGTTGCGGCGTCTCGTCAGGTATTATTAGTTACATGCCAATTTCATATATGTCGCCTAGATGCTGTGGCAGTACGTAATTATGTGCTGGTCGTTCTTCTGTGGGACTGTTGCTTTCTTTGATGGTTTCCCTCTGCACTTTCTGTTTAATAAACGAGATGCATATTCACGCTTTTACTTTTTTACTTTTCCCACTCCTCTCGTACATTACAAGCAAAATATAGTATGAAGAGTACTAAAGTTTACAGTTCTGAAGATGGCGTGGTGTTCCAGTACTTTGATTTTCTCTGGTTAAAAAAAAAAAAAAAACTTTGATTTGGGCGGAAACCTCCACCTCTATTGCTTTTTTTTAACCTGACCATCTCTATTGTCTAATACTCCTCCCGTACTTAGTACTACTAATATCTTTTACTCATAAATGTAATTTTTTTTAGTTCTCTGTTATAAGCAACGATTAATCACAGGTTTAAAATATTAGTTAAATTGAGTTTAAAACAATAAATATGTAAAATATATACATATTATATTTTTTAATTAGATCATTATTTGTAAAGAGAATACATGAGAGGTAATAAGTAAAAATTTATTATAAAAAGATAGTAAGTGGCATATATTTAACATGAACAAAAATAAAAAAGATTGGTTTTAAATTTCAGACTAAGAATTCATTGTTTATATTTAGGGATACCAATATGAGAGAGATTGAGCCTGTTTGCCTCTGTGTTTGGAGGGCAATAAGTTACTTTTCTTCAAGCATAAGCCTGTTTAAAAAGCTGGCGATGTTTGGGTTGGTGACTGGACAATCTAACTTTTACATAAAAAGCTACAATAAGTTATAAGTAAAGATTACTCTCTCCGTTCCTTATTATAAGAGACATTTGATGTTTATAGCATGTTCTTATATATAAGAGACACTTAGAAGTTGTCTCTACTTTTTTGTGTTGATTTTCTATTTTACCCATATTTATTATCTCTAACTCACACTCTTTCTCTTTCGCACTTCTCTTTCTTTTAATAATTTACCATTGTTCTCTCTCTTGCTCTCTCTCCTTATTAATGAGGGTATTTTTGGAAAAAAATTATACTTTTTACACATTGATTGTTCTTAACTAATCTTAACTGTTTTTTTTATCAACGTCAGTCGGTTATTCGTCTCTTATAATATGAAATGGAGAGAGTAATTGTTTAGCTACTGTATGTATAAATCAGAGAGAGTATTTAATTAGATTTTACCTGAAACAATGGCGCATGGACTGCAAGACTGAGAAGGAGAAACACTGGAGTCCGGAATTCAAAGGTGGGTGGGGGTTGGAGGAACAAAGTCAAAACCCACTGGTGGCAGGGAGCTTGCTGCACCACTTAAAGATATGCTATAGTCCACAGGCCATGGAGAATTGGAGATTTCTGGAGCCACAAGCAAAATGAATTTTGTAGCATTCCGACAATTAAGGGATATTTAAAAAACTCATAATAAATTAAAATAATTTCTGCACGCTTTATAAAAAAAAATTCTCTTACAATGTAAAACTATTTAAAATGAACTATTAAATTTCTCTTACAAACTTACAAACTCATCTCTTACAATGCAAAATTATTTAAAATGAACTATTATTTTCGTTCCTAAATATAATACTCCTCCGGTCCTTAATATAAGACCCATTTAACTAATTTGATTAGATTAAGGAAGTTAGGTAAATTAGTTAATTATAATAAATGTGACACATTTTTCCTAAAACACCATAATCATCTTTCTTAATACCCTCTCTCTCTTCTACTTAATTATGGTTGAGGGAATATCCATAAGGGTAATTTAGAGAAAATTGATAAATATGAAAAATGGGTCTTATATTTAGAATCAAAACTAATTTAACAATTGGGTCCTATATTAAGAACCAGATGAGTACTAGTATATTGTTTACAACATGAATTGCACTGCAAATTAGGTAGTAATTCGAACACATAGTCAAACATAGGGAAGGGAGGACGTGCCTCTCTGTTCAATACTGGGCAAGTAAATCGGGGGTTTCAAGAAGAAGAACGTGAGACCTAACGATCTCTCACGAGTGGCGAGTAATTCCTTCGCAACCGCCAGGCTCCCAATATGGATGGTCTATGGGCCGGTCCCTTGGGGATCAGAGGTCAATTAAGTCAATGGCTTTGATTTTAAACGGGGGCCTATGTTAAAAAAAATAATAAATAAATTAGGGTTAATAGCTTGAAATGAGATTTAAAGCTTATGAGTAATTTTTTAATTATAATTTATAAAATTAAAATACGAGATAGATATATTAAAAAAAAATTGTTTTGTAAATATTTTTAGACGTGAATCCAAAGACACCCTAGTTTGTTAAAATAGAAGGTGGAGATTGCTTCAAAATGAAAGCTTATTTTCCTTAACTATTCATCGTATCTTAGCCAGCGTGATGTGTGGGCGTTTGTTGGATTTTGAGTGGTTCAATTAAATGATACTTTTGGGCCAAAAAAAAAGAAGCCAATGATAAATAATTAATATATCTCCATTCGTTGTTTCTCTCTCTCTCTCTCTCTCTCTCCCCTCGCCACCCCATTCACTATTTCTCGTATATACAGTTTATTTTATTATTAGCATATTAATACATCCCCACTTTTCGGTCTAATATTCTCATCACATCATTTTTTTTTCAATCCACGATCTACAGCCCATGCACATAATAGCTTAAAATTCTCACTATTTAAAAATTTTTAGAGAGAGAGATATTTTTTTCTTTTTTTTTTGTGAATAAAAGTTTAGGTGAGTTGGGTCCCGGGAGCTCACCAGGGTCAGGGCATGCCTCCAGGCTCAAAGAGTGCTTACAGAGGTACTTATAGATCGCTTACCAACAAGGTCCTCATATCGGCAGCGGGATTCTAACTCACGACCTTGTGGGTTATGAGCCGACTCCTTACCAACTGAACCAACTCTTGTTAGTAGAGATATTTTTTTCTATCAAAAGAGAGAAACATATTGAACAGATAAACAATGTACAAAATATCTGCTTACAATTGAGCTGCATTACTTATGACTTATGAAAAGTGTGAATTCTACAGATTTTATATTATATTTATTAAATATAAATTTATAATAAGATTATTGTTACCATTAGCACCGCAGAAATTACTCTTCACTATTGGCAAAGGATTCTCTTCCCAAATCTCGAATAAACAAGTTGACATTGCCGGGAAAAAAAAAACATTATTTTTATACCCAAGTGAGTTCAAAAATATAGCTTTATCCACATGATTAAATTTATAAAATTAGAGATTTTATTTTGAATATTTCTTTTTTCTTTTTGGCATGGCATATTTTGAATATTTCAAAAGAAAGTATAATTGCCTTCTTCCTTGAATGGTCATCTGCAGAAGAAATTAAAGACAATTTTAATGTTTAAAAATAAGTTGATTAACTAATTTTCTTAAAACGTTTGACCCACCGAAAAGAAAAAAACTCCCCTATCGCTAACGAGAAATTTATTTAGATTAAATCCGTGTTTGTGATGGTATTAAAAATTACTTATAAGCACGTTTTACATAAGTCGAAAACAAAATTCCTCTCACATATTTAATGTTCCTCGTATTCTGTAAATCATGATTCCAAACAAGTCCCAAAAAAGTTAGTTAAATTAGTTTATTATAATAAATATGACATACTTTTTTCAAAACACTGATATTTATGATGTTCACTGACTTCAATTATTATCGTGAGAAGGACCCACCATGTTGTTGAGGAAATATTAACAGGAGGTAGTTTGCATTTGGAAGAAAAATAATAAATACTCTTTCAATCTTTAATATAGGAGCTAATTGTTAAGTTGATTTTGGTCCTAAATATAATATCTATTTCTCATATTTATCAATTTTTTCTAAATTACTCTTATTGATATTCCCTCAGGTATAATCAAGTAAAATAGAGAGAAAATATATTAAGAAAGATGATTATGGGGTTTTAGGAAAAACATATCATGTTTTTAATAATTAACTAACTTACTTAATTTTCTTATTCTAATCAAATTAGTTAAAATATGTCTTATATTAAAAACCTGTGGAGTATAAAAAATAGGTACTCCCTCTCTCCTTTTTTACAAGAGACAATAGGTTCGTTTGGATTAATGATTAAAAAGTAGCTTATTGTCAATCTAACTTTTAAAAAAGTGAAATTAAGTAAAAGTTAAATTAGGTGATGTGAATTGTGTTTAGATTAGATTTTGTAAAAATTAAATTGTAAAAGGAAGTTGTTTGGATTATGATTAAATAAGTAATTTTAATTTATAAAATTACCAAAATGAATAAGACTTTTATTAAATAATAAAAAATTTAAAAATTATCAATTTACATAATATAATAATTTTAAATCATTTATAAGTTCTTGTTGACCTCATATATTTTCTTTTATTTTTTTATCATTTATTATAAGGGCATATTTGAAAATAAAAGTATATTTCTGGGGCATATTTGAAAACAAAAATAATTCTAACTTATTTATTACCTTCAACTAATTTTAACTGATTTTTTGTTATCTACAGATTAGTTATTTGAGGCTTATAATAAGAACCAGATGAGATAATAAATTTTTTAACTGTTTCTCTCTCCATATTTCAAAAGTCATAAGTCATAAGTCATAAGTAACTACTCCCTCCGTTCCTTATTATAAGAGACAAATAATCGAAGTACGTTGATCAAAACAACAGTTAAAATTAGTTAAGAACAATTAATGTGTAAAAAGTAAATTTTTTTTCCAAAAATGCCCTCATTAATAAAAAGAGAGAGCATGAGAGAGAACAATTAAATTATTAAAAGAAAAAGAAGTGGGAGGGAGAGAGAGTGTGAGTTGAAGATAATAAATATGGGTAAAATAGGAAATCAACACAAAAAGTAGAGACAACTTTTAAGTGTCTCTTATATATAGAAATATGCCATAAGTATTAAATGTCTTTTATAATAAGGAACGGAGGGGGTACAAGATATTACTTTCTATACTTAATATAAAAACTAGTTTTCAATGTACTTTATTTTTTAAATTTATAATTCATTCTCTAAACTATCTATATTGATTATATATTAAGAAAAATTTTAACCGAGAATAGTCATGATTAAAATGATACTTTAGGTAAATCAGCTTATATTTGTTATAAATAATAACAAATTTATTTAATCTACTTAAATTAT